TTGCTTTGCTGCTTGCCTCGGGGTCTCAGCATGGCAAGATCAAGGTGACTGGCGCGCGGGCTGGGTGCATGGTGCATGGTGCATGGTGCATGGTGCGTGGTGCGTGGTGCATGGTGCATGGTGCTTGATGTGTGGTGCGTGGTGCATGGTGCGTGGTCCATGTTCCTTGCGGCATGTGCCATGGTGGCATGTGCCATGGTGGCATGTGCCATGGTGGCATGTGCCATGGTGGCAGGCATCCCGATGCCATGGTAATGCACGGCCCCTTCTTGTCCCTCGCAACACGCATCCCTCACGCCCTCCTCTCTCCACCCCCTTCTCTCCACCGCTAACAGGTGTGGCGGGTGCGCACAGGGCAGTGTCTGAGGCGCTTTGACAAGGCGCACTCACAGGGAGTCACCTCGGTGGCGTTCTCTCGGGATGGCAGTCACCTGCTCAGCGCCTCCTTTGATGGCACCGCCAGGTATGGCGCCCCGTATTGCTGTCTTCCGTGGTAACTTCAGTTGTGTTATCATCCATATTTCACGCTCTCTCCCTCTGGCTTACTTCCCCAGGGTGCACGCACGGGCTCAAGTCAGGCGAAACCCCTGTCTCAAGGAGTTCCGAGGGGCACATGTCTTTTGTCAACGGTGCTGTCTATTCTGATGCTCGCCATGTTGCCATGTCGAACTCATGCCCTCCCTCTGTTTCATGCTCTCCCTCTCTTTCATGCTCTCCCTCTGTTTCATGCCCTCCCTCTATTTCATGCTCTCCCTCTGTTTCATGCTCTCCCTCTCTTTCATGCTCGCTTTCCCTCGTGCGCCCGTTGTTCAGGGTGCACGGGCTCAAGTCAGGGAAGACCCTCAAGGAGTTTCGAGGGCACACCTCTTTCGTCAACGATGCTCTATATTCTGCTGATGGTGGTCGTGTTATCACTGCCTCCTCCGATGGCTCTGTCAAGGTGATGTGAGGTGCAGTGCGTTGATATGAGGTGCAGTGCGTTGATATGAGGTGCAGTGCCAAGTGTGTGTCATGTGAGGGAAAATGGTGCTGCACCAGCGAGAGCGTGAGTGAGGATGGGTGCGTGTGGACTTTGAATCCTCAACTACACTAACCTCAATACTCGATTAAACACTCATCTGTCCCAATCCCTCCCCACCTCTCCTCCTCACCCCCTCGTCCCTCCCCACCTCTTCCCACCCATCCTCACCCCTAACCCAACCAGGTGTGGGACGTCAAGTCACTCGAGTGCTTGCACACGTTCAAGCCGCCACCACCCCTCCGAGTGAGTCGCCTCCCATGCGGCCCTGCCTATCCCTGTCACGCCCTCTCAGCCCTGCCTGTCCCCGTTCCCCCTGATCAGCCCTATCCAGCCCTGACCCTCAATCCGTCCGTTTACTCATTCTCCTTGTTGAAAAGATAGAAGTGATGCATTGAATAATGAGCCAAGAGGCCCTTTAGTACAAACAATGAGCAAGAGAGAGATGAGAGGGAAGCTTACCCTATTGGCCAATAAGTTGGCCAATGGGTGAGCTTGCTTGTGGCCCAAGCAACCACAAATGTGTGTTGGTTGGGATCGGTTGAGCTAAGGACCAATCCCAACCAACCACAAAATGTGGTTGGAAGGTACACTGAACAACCCCCCAATTTATGAATGTGCTACATATTCAAGTCTAGCCTATGTATGTTGTATAAAATATGAAATTACAACACTCCTGCCCCATCGTTCAGCTGCACTCCAGTCCCTCTGTGCCCACCTTCTGCAGTTGACTCGAAGTCAAAACATTTGTCTAAAAAATCGACTCAATTCTTTCCTCCACGCATTCCCGTTCCCCATCGTTGATCCGCACTCCAGTCCCTCCTGCCCACCCTTTGTTTCCCTAGAGCTTGCAAACGTATCGTATCACTCATCTACGTCCTCCCCTCTAGCCTCCATCTCTACAGCTCTGTCTCTCTGTCTCTTGCATGTGCTGCACCGTTTCTTTCCTCTGCACGGCGGAGACGCGTCAGTCATCATCACATCACAGTGCTCCTCTCCCCCCCTTCCCCGCAACGTCGACCATGTGGTTGTGTGCAACCGCTCCTCCTCCATCTTCCATCTTCCCTTCTTCCTCGTTTTTGTTCCCCTGCAGGGCGGAGACGCGTCAGTGAACTCGGTGCTCCTCTCCCCCCCCAACGTCGGCCATGTGATGTGATAGTGCGCCACCGCCCGTTCTCCATCTTCCTTTTTTCCTCGTTTTTTTTCCCATTCCAGGGCGGCGACGCGTCAGTGAATTCGGTGCTCCTCTCTCCCCGCAACGTGGACCATGTGTTTGTGTGCAACCGCTCCTCCTCCGTGTTTCTCATGACGCTGCAGGGCCAGGTGGGTGTGAGGGAGGTGGAATGTGGGGGAGGTGGGTGCGGTGGGTGCCATGCTGTGCCTCATGCACCCGTACCCATGCACCCGTACCCATGCACCCGTACCCATGCACCCGTACCCATGCACCCGTACCCATGCACCCGTACCCATGCACCCGTACCCATGCACCCGTACCCATGCACCCGTACCCATGCAGCCATGCACCGATCGGCCTGTATTAATCCATCCACCCGGGCGCCACTGCACCCACTCACCTACGCTATGCACCCATGCATGTATCATGTGGTTCGTATTTTCACATCAGGCAAGAGGGAGGGCGGTGATTTTGATTCTCTGCCATGTTACAGAAGGTTATTCCCCATGCTACCCCATACCTCCCATGCTACCCCGTACCTCCCATGCTACCCTATACCTCCCATGCTACCCCATACCTCCCATGCTACCCCATACCTCCCTTGCTACCCCATACCTCCCATGCTACCCCATACCTCCCATGCTACCCCATACCTCCATCCTACCCCATACCTCCCATCCTACCCCATACCTCCCATGCTACCTCCCATGCACCCATGTACCCATGTACCATACACCCATGCACCCATGCATCCATGCATCCATGCTCTCATCAGGTGGTGCGGAGCTTCACATCAGGCAAGAGGGAGGGCGGTGACTTTGTGGCGGCGTGCCTGTCCCCCAAGGGCGACTGGATCTACTGCATGGGCGAGGATGCGTGAGTGCCTTCGTCACTGCATTGCACACGAGTGCTGACTTGATTTGACTGCACACGATTGCTGACTTGATTTGACTGCACACGAGTGCTGACTTGATTTGACTGCACACGAGTGCTGACTTGATTTGACTGCACACGAGTGCTGACTTGATTTGACTGCACACGAGTGCTGACTTGATTTGACTGCACACGAGTGCTGACTTGATTTGACTGCACACGAGTGCTGACTTGATTTGACTGCACACGAGTGCTGACTTGATTTGACTGCACACGAGTGCTGACTTGATTTGACTGGACACGAGTGCTGACTTGATTTGACTGCACACAAGTGCTGACTTGATTTGACTGCACACGAGTGCTGACTTGATTTGACTGCACACGAGTGCTGACTTGATTTGACTGCACACGAGTGCTGACTTGATTTGAATGCACACAAGTGCTGACTTTGACTGCACACGAGTGCACTGTGTGTGGTGGGTGTGAGTGCTGCTGCTCCCCCCCGTGCCTGTCCCCCAAGGGCGAGTGGATCTATTGCATGGGCAAGGATGCGTGAGTGGTGGCATGGTGTGTGCACCAATGTGTACCAATGTGTACCAATGTGCACCCATGTGTACCAATGTGCACCCATGTGTACCAATGTGCACCCATGTGTACCAATGTGCACCCATGTGTACCAATGTGCACCGGTGCCCATGGTGTGGAGTGCACTGGCTGGTGGGTGTGTGCACTGCTGCCTCTCCCCCTGCCTCCCTCGCAAGGCTAGTGTGTATCTCTACTGTATGGGCGAGGATGTGGCAGTGCTTGAGTCGAACCGGATTCACATAACGCTTTCACTGCATGGGCGAGAGTGTGTGAGTGCTGGCTGAGGTTCATCAGGCAACGACAAGTCATCAAGGAGCACAGTGACTGCTTGCTGGGGTGTGGTGGACACGGCAACTCGCACCAATCCTTTATCACTCCACTCTCCTCACCCATTCTCCCTTCTGCACTGCACTCCGGCTCTGCACAGCACTCCCACTCTGCACTTAATCCCCCCCGCCGTTGTCACTCCCTCACTGTCCTATTTCACCTTCTCTCCCCTTTTCTCCCCTCTCATGCTCTCTGCTCCCCCCTGCAGCAACATGTACTGCTTCAGCTTTCAGAGTGGCAAGCTAGAGCATCTCATGAAGGTGTGGTTCTCTCTTTGTGTGTGCAAAGCATTGCGTGGCACCCACAGCATCGAGAAGCATTCACCTCAGCACATTCATGTGATGAATTTCTTGTTGAGACTTATCACTAACTTCACTTCGTACCCATGTGTGGGCATGTATGTGCATGTGCATGTGTGTGCATGCGTCCATCATGTGTGCGCATGTGAGCAGGTGCATGACAAGGATGTCATAGGCATCACCCACCATCCCCATCGCAACCTCATTGCAACCTACAGCGAAGATTGCACCCTCAAGCTATGGCAGCCATAGTCAACTCTGTCTTTGAGGCACCTCAAAATAATCCAGTCTCCCACTTCAACTCCACTGAATAAATCACCCTAGGCCCTAGGGTGCTTCTTTTAGTTCTTAAATAAAATGATTGGGTGTTCACAAAAGGTTAAAAAAAACACCCGCTAGCTGCGCACTGCTACAAATGCGAACGAACTTGCATGATCTCGAAATACTTCTGCCTCGTGAACACACTTCAGTTATACCCAACAGATGCCATTCAAGAACTGTGACGTTCGGCACAATGTGATGGTTGGGCTTTGACAGACCAGATCATAAATGTCTGTTTGCTTGTTTTTAGCGGTTGACTCAAGAGTCTTGGCAATGCCAGCAGCACCAACCAACCTGTGTGTTATAAGGTTTTGGACTAGGTATGTTCAGGACCTGCGGTATACTACACAGGCGCTTATGGTACGAATAGATTCAAACCTGATGATGGTGTGTCACTTCGTGTTCAGGCTGCATGATTGTGATGGTGATGGAGCTGGGCAACCGAATACGAGCCCATGGCATCTCCACGCCCATCCCCGTGGGGAGACGGCACTCTAGCCAGAGCGGTCCATGCCACGTCAGCATCCTCGTCGCCCTCCAGCAGGGCAAGGGCTGACGCCACTGACGCACGCAGCTCGTCCAACCGCGACTGCGATGCTGAGAGGCACGTGTGCTCTAGTAGCACTGACCCTAAAGAAGGTGGTTGTGACATTGATGCAAAATGTGACTCTTCATCTGATTTCATCGCTGCTGCTGCTGCTGGTTCAGGTAAGTGTGGGAGTGCTATTGCTGCTGCTGCTGCTGCTGGCGCTGTGCCAGTTGTTGCTGACGTGTCTGGGACAGTGAGGGTGTCAAGAATGGGCCAAGCGGCAGAGAGGGCCTCGGCCACTCGTATTCTGACATTTGGCACGTTGTCCTGTGGGGAGACAGTGGGATGGGTAGGCACAAGAGGAGGGGGGTAGAATGAAGATGAAAGGCAGGTAAAGAAGCGTAAGAGCAGAGACACAGAATGGCAGTGTAAGGGAAAAGAGAGTTAAAACCCGCGGGCCAAGAAGTTCAACCTTAGGAAGGTTGGTTGGGGGTGAAAACGCTATTGGCCTGCGAACCAATAGGAGTGTCTAAAATGTGAGATCGAGGTCTAGAACCCGGGAATGATCACAGGCGTTTTTGGGACATCCAACCAACACTAGGAAGGATGAACCAATTTCAGCACTAAGAGCAAGGCAGGATGGGTTTGAGATGGGAGCAGGCTTACATAGACGAGCGGGAGGAGGAGAGGGAGGACGGTGGAGAGGAGGAAGGCAAATGCGTGGAGATGTGAGTTGGGCTGACAGGGGAGGGCTATGGGAGGAGAGGAGGGCGTGTGTGCGGAGGGGTGTGTGTGTGTGGTGGCAGGAGGAAAGGAGTGCGCTGGCGAGGCAAGGATAGGCGCTGCCAGGGTTGGCCCGATGCAGTCCAGCAGCTCCGTACAGGCTATGCCGAACCTGCGAATAGGTTTGACAGGTTCGGAATGGGGGGAAGGATGATCAAATATGGCTATAGCGCAGATGCGCGTCAACTAAATTAGCTCATAGCCTCTATAAGACAAGGTTATACGTTCATACGTGTACATGAACATATGCAAACGCTACGGTAAAGCCAGAAATCGAGATCAAGATTGATGGAAAGAAGAGACGAGGGGAAACAAGGGGGGTCATCGATGAGGGGAGTGAGGGGATAGGAGGGAGCCGAGTAGAGAGGAGGAAGGGGAATGGGAGAGAGACGTACGTTTGTCGGTCGTGGAAATTGCGACTGGAGGCGAGAGCAGCCAAGGCAGAGAGGAGAGTCTGGGAGGCCGATGCATCTGAGTCAGGGGGGGGAGGGGATCGCGATGGCCGGGCTCCTCCCGGGTGAGCGGCAGGGTGGGGATGAACGCCCTTCACAGAATCATCATGGGGGTCCTCAGCAGCGTCATCAGGGCTCACTGCAACCGTATTGGTGGAGTGAGGAGTGGCAGCAGAAGCATGCTGGTGATCGTAATAGTGACCGTCCCTGGTGCCAGTGGACAGAGCATGTTCACTCACCCCGTCCTCCTCACCCCCCTCCGCGCTTCTGCCCTTGCTCTTCCCACTATTACTCTCCTGGCTAATGCTCCCCCCACCCCCGCCCCTTGCTTCCCCCTCTCCATGCACTGTGCTGCTGCTGCCTGGTCCACCGCGAGGCTCGGAAACATACAAGTCAGCGGCAAGAGGCTCGGCACAAGAGGAGCCAGTAGACTTAGGTTCAGCAGATAACGACTCAACGGGATCGCACGTGGCAGATGCACATGAAGTAACACATTCTGCATGCTCTTTCAACCCTCGTCTTGCTGACGTGGCATCAAGTGCTGGTTCGTTTGTCAGCGACGAGTGGCATGCTGACGTGGCAGGTGCTGATGACACTGATGTGGCTGCTTGCAATGATGCTGACGTGGCAGCGGACAGGGTAGTGAGGGTCAGCAACTTGGCAGCCTGAAGAGAGTAAGGCGAGGGAGGGGCGAGGAATGTGGGTGAAACAAAACAAGTGGGTGGGTGGTGGTCCAAATATGAGGAAGAAGGAAGGGGGAATGAAAGACGAAACGAAAGGCAAGGGGGAAAGACATGAAAGCGAGGTGTGGGATCAAAGAGGGAGGAAGTCAGAGCAGAAACTTCGAGAAAAGCCCCAAGCACAGACTCATGCAGAGCGGCCAGCATAGCTCGCGTAACCGTAAGAAGGATGGGGTACACAGCATGCAAACCGTAACCATAACTGTAACCGTAGCCGTAACCCCATCCTTCTATAGGAGCCCAGTGCCCCCTCCCCCCTCCTCTTCTCACCTGTCTGGCTGCCTCCTCCCGGACGGTAGCGATCCGATCCCTGCATGCATGCAGGGCATGCGCGTGAACAGTGGTCATGGGGGAGGGTGGGAGGAAATGAGAAAGAAGCAAGGATGAGGGTGGGAGAAAAAAGCAGAGTAGCGATGAGGGAGTAGTGCGGGTAGAGGAGCAGTGCTTTTCAGTTGGACCGGTTGTCACCTGCACTGGTTGTCACCTGCACTGGTTGTCACCTGCACTGGTTGTCACCTGCACTGGTTGTCACCTGCACTGGTTGTCACCTGCACTGGTTGGCACCTGCACTGGTTGGCACCTGCACTGCTTGTCACCTGCACCAGTTGTCACCTGCACCAGTTGTCAACTGCACCAGTTGTCTACTGCGCTTGTAATCCTCACTGGGTTACTTCGTGTCCTGGCTGCTACCAGCAGCAGTTGTGACCTGAACCAGCTACCACCTGCACTCATAACTCACACTGGGTTGCTACTCGTCGTGGCGACTACCTGCATCCGATGTGACCTGAAACAGATACCACCTGCATCCTAGGTGACCTGAAACAGATACCACCTGCATCCGATGTGACCTGAAACAGATACCACCTGCATCAGTTTGCACCTGCAGAGGGAGAGAGCGAGGTCGATGAGGAAAGGTAGGGCGGCGCTGTTGGGTGGCAGCAACTGCGCCACTCCTGATGCTTGGCTGGGGTGGTGGGGAGGGGGGAAGACAGGGGAAGAGGGGGAGAGAGGGGGAGAGAGAGAGGAGAAGAGAGAGTGAGAAAAAAGTAGACGGAGATGGTAGGGAGGAGAGAAGGTACACCAAGTCCAGTGAACAGGGAGTGCAGCCATGTGTCCTCCGTTTCCTGAGTGGAGTCAGCGAGTCAGCGAGGCCCCACGGGTTTGGAAAGCGGGTGAGTGGGGACCCTGTAGCTACAGCCTACACGGTTTCACCCGCCCTGGCTGTATGGGCAACTGTACTCACATGAGTGCAGCCAGGCGGAGGTGCCACCTGCTGCCAACACAGGGTGCACTACCTCTCTATTTCCTAGCAGGGATTTCCCAACTGTGAGGTCAGGCAACAACCTGACCAGCTATACAGCCGCCCACCTGAGAGCAGCAAGGTGCATGTGCCAGCTGCTCTCTCGGCCGGCCACAATCGGGTTGCTGCCAACACAGCCCACCTGCTGGTGCGTGCATCGTCCTCACCCCAATTCTACATCCAGGAGTACAGCCGCCCACCTGAGAGCAGCGAGGCGCAGGTGCCAGGAGCTCTCCCGGCCGGCCACACGCATCTGCGGGCGCACGCGGTTGCGGCTGGGGAGCGCCCTCAGCTGCACCTGCACACTCGGGTTGCTGCCGCCCAGCACCAGTGGCCTCGGCGAATCCGCTGCCGCCACGTGGATGCGCACTGTGTTGGGCGCCGGCGTGCCCACCTGCACCTGCAGACGATACTCGCCGCCCTGCTGGCCGCTGCTGGTGGGTTGCTGGTGCAGCTGCTGTTGATCGCTGCTGCTGCTAAGGTGCTGTTCCAACGGCTGCTGACTGCTGCTGCTGGCGGGTTGCTGCTGCAACAGCTGATGAAAGTTACTGGTAGACTGGTTAGACTCCTCGAGCTTCCCCGTGGGAATATCATGATTTGGTCCCTCCTCCACATCCTTCCCTTCTCTTCCTCCTTCATTCCTCTCTTCCCTGTTGCCTTGTTCCTGCTCCCTTCTCTGACTTCCTTCCTCTCCCATAGATCTGTCGTCCTCCCTGCATTCGTCCCCCTCAAGCTCCCCCTGGTCCCCTCTCAACTCAGCCTGCGACCCCTGCACTTTCCTCTCCGCTTCTTCTGCTGCCTCTGCCCCCTCTGCCCCATTTGCCCTTTCTGTCCCCACTGCTCCTTCTTCTCCCTCTGCCCCGTTCCTCTCGTTCCCTCTCCCACTCCCCTCGCTCAACCTATTTTCATTGCTCACACTACCCTCAATCACACCATCACCACTAGTACTACTGCTCTCACTCCCCTCATTCAAACTATCATCACCACGCCCCTCACTCCCCTCATTCACACTATCATCCCCACGCCCCTCACTCCCCTCATTCAAACTATCATCACCACGCCCCTCACTCCCCTCCACATCCCCCCCTGCACACTCACGGCCCACCTCCTCTCCACCGCCATCCACACCTGCTCCTCCAGATGCCACCTCCCCTCCCTTACCCTCCACGCCTCCCCCAAATGCCACCTCCCCCAGCCAACCGCCTGTCCCAAGGCCACCCAGCCCACTCACAATCTTCGCCCACAGCCCACCGCTCTCCTCCCTCGCCTCCTCCCTCGCCTCCTCCCTCGCCTCCTCCCTCGCCTCCTCCCTCACCTTCTCCCTCGCCTCCTTTCCCTCACCACCCTGCCCAACTTCCAGCCGCTCCCCCTCGTTACTGTTACATGGATTTACCTCTCTCTCGTCACTGTCACGCGCGCTACTTCCACCCTCAGCAGCAGCCCCATCCGCAGAACCAGCCACGAGGCTCCTTGGCGGCGGTGGGTACCGAGGGCTATCCACATACTCCTCGCCATATACACTTGCCCCTTGTAACACACCACTACTTATAACAATTCCCTCTTCAGAGGGGCGTGGTGACACAGGACTCTCTGCAAGGCAGCTTTCCACATGCGCACTCGGGTCCAAGGGAGCGATCACGAGTCCCTCTGGTCTCTTCCCCACTCCCTCTGCGCGTCCAGCAGCACCAGGCGCTGCTGCTAACGCACAAACCTCTTCCCCCTCACTTCCCCCTCCTCCCTCTCCTCCCTCAATCCCCTCACCTTCACTTCTCTCTCCTCCCTCCCTTCGCTCTCCGCCCTCTGCTGATGCAGCTGCCGCTGCTATTGCTGCTGCCTCTGCAGCCTCTGCAGCGCGCTGAGCTGCCATCTCCTGAGCGTGGACCTCCTGGGGCGAGAGCCCCTGGCGCCACAGCAGGCGCGGCAGCAGGCGAGCGCAGTGCGGGCGGTGGGAGGCGGGCAGACACGCCATGAAGGCCGTGAATGTGGGCACCAACGCCATGCGCACCTGATGGGGGAAGGCATCGGCAGGCAGGAACTCCGATAAGCGTTGAACAGTTCATGTCACCAGCGTCTTACACCCAAACCCCCATCATCCCTCCTCACACCCACCTCTTCCTCGTCACACACCAGCGCCTCTAGCTCGGGCAGCGGGCAGCAGGCAGTGGGCAGCAGGCAGCAGGCAGCGGGCAGCAGACAGCGGGCAGCAGGCAGCGGGCAGCGGGCATCCCTTCCCTGCCACCCCTACCCCCTTTTCCCTCCCCCCTACACCCTCCCCCCTCCCGTCTCTTACCCCACTCTCACCTCGTCCTCATCGCACACGAGCGCCTGGAGGGCGGGAAGCAGGCAGCGCACGGTTATGGCCGGCCCCAGCAGCCCCGCCAGCTCATGCACGTGACACGCCAGCGTGCGCCGCACCGCCAGCTGGCACGGCGCGATTGGCGGAGAGGAGAGCAGGAACGGGTTCGAGGGAGGAAGAATGGGGGAGGGAAGGGATGGATATAGAGAGAGTTGACAAGAGAGAGTTGACAAGAGAGAGTTGAGGGGGGAGTGGTAGACAGCATGCACTCACGTGGGGCGATGAGGGTAGCGCCATGCTCATGAGGTCAGCGCCATGCTCATGAGGTCAGCACCATGCTCATGAGGTCAGCACCATGCTCATGAGGTCAGCGCCATGCTCATGAGGTCAGCGCCATGCTCATGAGGTCAGCGCCATGCTCATGAGGTCAGCGCCATGCTCATGAGGGCAGCGCCATGCTCATGACGTCAGCGCCATGCTCATGAGGTCAGCGCCATGCTCATGAGGTCAGCGCCATGCTCATGAGGGCAGCGCCATGCTCATGAGGTCAGCGCCATGCTCATGAGGTCAGCGCCATGCTCATGAGGTCAGCGCCATGCTCATGAGGTCAGCGCCATGCTCATGAGGGCAGCGCCATGCTCATGAGGGCAGCGCCATGCTCATGAGGGCAGCGCCATGCTCATGAGGTCAGCGCCATGCTCATGAGGTCAGCGCCATGCTCATGAGGGCAGCGCCATGCTCATGAGGGCAGCGCCATGCTCATGAGGGCAGCGCCATGCTCATGAGGTCAGCGCCATGCTCATGAGGTCAGCGCCATGCTCATGAGGGCAGCGCCATGCTCATGTGGACAGCAGTGCTTGCATCGAGACACTGTTCGCATGCGGGCTGCTACTCAGTTCGCATGGGGGGATGCCAGCTGCTCACATGGGGGTCACTGACTCGCTGCAATGAGGAGGTCACTCACATGGGGTGAGGCGAGCAGGTGGCCGTATGCTGCCTCCAGCTCCCACCAGCGCGATGGGCCCAGCCCCACCACCACCGCTGCCAGATGACGGGGGAAAAGGGGGTTGAGGGAAAGGCGGATAGGGAAGGGGAGGGGGAAGGGGGAATAGGGAAGGGAAGGGGACGAAGAAAGAAAGGAGAAGAAGTGAATGGAAGGGAATGCACAGGGCTGAATGGAAGGGTGTAAGGGAGGTGACGAGTTGACTGTCGACCCGTTTTTTTCTTGGAAAAACTGCCATCCAAACAGCATGCCAGGGCAGCCCAGTACCTCATTTCTCAGAAAAAAAAAAAGGCAAACCTGAGCCTCATGTCAAGCCCTACCCCCGACTCGCGCCTGGGATGGGAGGCACATTCTAACAAACAATCCCACCTGTTGCTGCTAGCAACGCTGTTCCCACGTGGGAAGTTGAAGGCGCAGTGAAGCGGCAGGCGGTCATCATTGTCAGCATCGGCATCGCCACCATGGCCCACGGGCACTGGTGGCCCTATCATGTCATCGCCACCATCGCCCATGGGCACTGTCATGTCATCCAAACAGCATGCCAGGGCAGTACCTCGTCGCTCAGAAACTAAGGGCAAACTGAGCTTCATGTCAAGCCCAGCTGTTACTCCCACCTGGGAAGTTGAAGGCGCAGTAGAGCGGCAGGCGGTCATCGTCTGCATCGCCATCGCCATCATCACCCATGGGCACTGGCTGTGCCATGCTCGTAAACATGTGCACCAGGTCCTGGATGAGAGCGGTGGGGAGGGGTGTGTAGGGGTGTGAAGCGGTGTGGATGGGTGTGAAACTGTGTGAAGGGGTGTGAAGCAGCGTGAGAGGGTGTGGTGGGTGGGAAGAATGAGTTGAGGAAACATGGGAGAGCACGCAGTGGGCGCTGGGGAGGGGCGTGGAGGGGCGAGGAGAGGAGCAGCTAGGGTGGAAGAGCAGGGCTTGGATGAATGGGCATCTGGAAACTTGCATTGGATGCTTGCAGGAGGAGTTGACTTTTGAGTCGACTCAAAAGTCGAGACTGGCATGCATGGCATGCATGCAGGCAGACGAGGGACATCACCCTCCCCGCAATGGCAAGGTGGGGTCCGAGAGGAAAGGCAATGCGAGGAAACGTAGAAATGGGAAACACGAGGGGGATTTGCAAGAAATGAAATGAACAAGGGAGGTATAGTGATACAGCAGTAGCAAACCAAGGCTTTTCTTCCTATATGGTGTCCACGTTTTCCACCCGTCCTGGCATCCCTCCCTGCTCTCACCCGCATGTCAGCGCCTCGCAGCACGGACAGCAGCGGCCCCAGCATTTGAAGAGCTGCCTCCCGCACCCACGCTGATGGCTGCCCATGGGGTGTGGGGCGGGGCGGGGTGGGGGGAGAGGGGATGAGGTGTATGATTAGAAGTGTAGGGTGTGGTGTGAACACAGGAAAAGATTTTTGAGGCGCCTCAAAAATTAGTGTAGGGTGTGGTGTGAACACAGGAAAAGTGGGCACGGGGAAAGGCTACTCCAACTCGAGGTGAAAAGATTGGAGTTCCAGTCCAGTTACCACATCATTCAATCCAAACCACACCACACCACACCACACCGCACCACGCTTACATCATTCGCCAGTCGGCCCATGAGCTCCCCTATGAGCTGAGTCCGCCGCCTCACTCGTGACACCTCCTCCTCCTCCTCCACACCCTTGCCCCACTCCTCTCCACCACCCTCCTCCTCCCGCCCAATCACCCCACTTCCCCCCTCCCCATTTTCCTCCTCTACTCCACACTCCCTCACAGCTGCAAGCGAGCTCACTTCATGGTCTCCCGCTTCCTCACTAATCTCCCGCACTTCTTCAATCTCCCCCCAACTCTCAGACCCCATTCCACCGTGCCGCACCGCTCCAGACACCATCCCACCACCCTGCACCCTTGACTCTCCTGCGAGCCCCACATCCCCCATACCGACTTCCTCAGTAGCAGGTGCAGCTTCTCTTGCAGCTTCAAGCCCCTGTGCTGCAGCGTTTGCACTCTCCACCTCACCTGCAGCAGCTGCCACGGCCCCTGTTCCTTCACCTCCTCCTGCTAATCCCACTCCCCCTGCTGCTGCCGCTGCTCCTCCCAGACCTGCTGCTGCCTGAGTGTCCCTCTCCTCTCCCAACTGTAATTCTTCCATAAGCTCGCCTCTCACACTCTCACTCCCACTATCCCCACTGCTCCCGCTGCTGCCACTACTCCCACTGCTCCTGCTGCTCCCGCTGCTGCCACCGCTGCTGCTACTGCTGCTGCTTCCCTGGCTGCCCACGCTCCCATCACTGCCACTGCTGCCGTTGCTGCTAGCAACACTGCTGCCACCACTGCCAGTGCCGCGGCCGTCAGAACCAGCAGAGGTAGCCTTCGGCGCGAGAGCAACAGCAGCCTCTGCCACTGCCACTATGCCCTCTGCACACGCCACTCGCACGGCCCAGGAGGTGTCGGAACAGAGCGAGGTGAACAGGGGGAGCTGGGGGAACAAGGGCGTGGGAGAAAAGGAGAAAAGGAAAATGAAAAACAGCACACAAGTCAGATCAGACACGGTTAAGTGTCTGACAGTCAGAATAAGGCAGCCTGTGCCATTGCTACTACGCCCTCTGTCCATGCCACTTGCACTGCCCAGGTGGTATGGAACACAGCAAGAGGTTTCAACCTGCACTGCACATTACTCTTTTTCTTTTTCCTTTTTTTTTCCCTGAGTGTGAGTGAAAGAGGCTGTGGAGGGGACAACAAGTCCTTCTGAATGCTTAGCACTCACCAGAGAGCCGTCCAGGCATGCAGCATTGGCCCCCATGGCCCTGCAGCACTGCGCCAGGCCCTCTGCTACTGCCTGCATGGGGGAAGGCGCGGAGAGGAGTACGGGGGGAAGAGTGAGGGGAGAGTGAGCAATGGAAGTATGCAGCATCTCTCCACCAGCTTACGGTCTAAGCGCTGTTAGAATCAAGAGAGGCGTGTGCCTGAAGCCAGATGACGGAAGGACGGAGGTGGGAGAGGGTGATGATGTGGCATGGGTAGAAAGGAAGGACAGCATCTGTAGAGACTTGTTCTCCTCTCAGTGCCCAGCGCTTGGGAAGCTAAGAAGCGAGCGGGATAAAGCGCTAGAGAACGAGGGGGAGCGAGCTATGCTGAGCAGAACGAGCAATATGCTGAGAAGCAAAAGTGGGAGTAAGATCATGTCTGACCAGGCTGAAAGTGGAAATCAGCACCATACATTATCGAACTGAAGGTGAGTCAGTAATGTGCCATTTTTACTTGCACCTGAGACAGCAGCCTACCTTTCTGACTTGGAAGTGCACGTCAGCAGCGAGCGCAAGTAGGTGCGGCACGGCTCGGTGCTCAAAGAGCGGGCGACTCATCACCGCTGCACAGCGCACCAGTACCTGAGAAGGTGGGTGGCAGGGTTTTTTTTTTTTTTTTGCCATTCGACTTAAAAGCAGCTGGGTGCACGAAGAGGGAATGGCTCATCCACTGCCGCACAGTGCACCGGCACCGGAGAAGGCATCAAGCAGCAGGGGAGAGACTGGATATGCACACAGAGACACACGGAGGGGGGTAAAAGGGGGCCGAAGAGGAGGAGCGGGGATGCTGATGCTGATGCTGATGCTGCTGCTGATGCTACTGCAAACGGACCAATACCCAAAAAGAGGGTCCACTCCATTGACTCACAGAGGCAGCGCAGACGCGAGCAGGCTGGGAGTGCGGCAGCAGCGCGAGGCGCAGCAGGGCATTGAGCAGCATCGCCTCCACCGCTGCATCCTCCTCCGCGCCGTATGCCATCATTGCCACATAGCCGCCCTCCATCGCCACTTGTACCTGTGAGGTGCGGGGAGGAGAGGCAGCGGGAAGGGGAAGGGGAAGGGGCACAAACCAGCATGAGCACGGCACCATGGCTTGTAGCTTCCTCCTCCGCTCCATACGCCATCATTGCCACATAGCCGCCCTCCATCGCCACTTGCATCTGGAAAGGGGAGAGGAAGGGGGAGAGGAAAGGGCAGAGGAAGGGGCAGAAGAAGGGGCAGAAGGGCAAAACAGCATGAGCAGAGCAGCATGGGCTGTGGCTTCCTCCTCCGTGCCATATGCCACCATCGCCACCTGCACCTGCAGGGAGTAGAGAGGCAGGGGCAAAGGCACAGAGGTAGCGGCAGGGGAAGAGGCAGAAGAGGGAGTAACAGAAGGGGCGGAGGAAAGTGCAGAGGAAGGTGAGAATGAATCAGCCATGGCCTGAGCAGCGCCAGCACTGAGGATAAGGTTTGAGGTGGCTGACAAGAGGAAGAATCTCAGAAGGGGGAGCGCCGACACCATGACCTAAGCCTTAGTTTCCTCCTCCATTCCACACCGAGAAGCGAGGAAGGAGGTGTGTGGGGGGCAGGCCAACAGGAATACCATCACGCCATCACCCCCTGATTCTTCTCTGCCAACAGCGCAACCATTCCACCCTACCCGTTCTCCCCTTTCTCTAACTCACCTTGTCGCCTGCACCCAGCAGCACCTTGTACGCATCACCATCACTTTCATCTCAGCAACACCCCAACCCCCACCCCGCCCCAACCCTCACCTCCTCAGCCTCGTCCAGCAGCAGCTGGCTCGTCACGCCCATCAGCTCCACCATCAGCGCACTCTGCGCCCATCCACTACCCCCCTCTTCCCCCTCTCCCTTCCTTGCCCTCCTGTCCTTCTCCACCCTCTCTCACCTCTTCAGCCTCGTCCAGCAGCAGCAGGTTCGCCATGTCCATCAGCTCCATCAGTGCCCCCGTGCACTACCCCCCTCCCCTCCTCCTCCCTCCCTAAGTCCGATTCCCTGTCCATCCACTGTCCGTCCTGTGCATACGCCCCCCCCACTGTCTCACTCACCTCTTCAGCCTCGTCCAGCAGCAGCAGGTTCGCCACGTCCATGAGCTCCATCAGTGCCCCGCGCGCCCTGCTGCCCGCCTGACACGGGGGGGGAGGGTGGACAGGTAGGCAGGTGGGTTGCGTGGGCAGGGGATATGCATCGGATGCAGAAGCTTGGCAGGTTCGCCACGTCCATGAGCTTCATCAGTGCCCCGCGCGCCCTGCTGCCCGCCTGACATGAGCAAGAGGGCAGGCGGTGGATGGGTGGATCCGATGGGTCGGCAAGCGGACAGGTGGACGGGTGGAAGGGTGGGTGGGTGTGCAAATTGACAGGTGTGTGGGCGGGCACGCATGCATGCATGAGAGGAGGAATCTTCCTCATCCACAGGAGAGGCTGTTCCGCTCCTTCCTCAAGCACCGCCGCCAGCAGCACCCGAACCAGCAGCACAGCAGCACAGCAGCTGAGAGCAAGCAGGTGGGAGAGCGGAAGCGGCCCTTCCCGTGGGAACATGAGCGATTTCATAAGCGGGTGGCGCGACGCGACGGCATCGTACAGTGAATTCCTGCGAGGCACAACCAATGCAGCTGATTTGCTCGCACTACGTACTTACGTTGTGCACATGTGTATGCACATGTGGTGTGCATATTGAAAGCAATGCAGGCAGGGTGCACGGGTACAGGGAAGGGCAGGGGCACACAGCAGCAGGGGGAGTGCATAGCGTTGCATATGCACGCAGGCAGGGCGAACTGGTGCAGGGCAGGGCAGGGCAGGGCAAGCAACACAGGGGCGGTGCAGCAGGGCAGGGCAAGCAACACAGGGGCGGTGCAGCAGGGCAGGGCGAGCAACACAGGGGCGGTGCAGCAGGGCAGGGCGAGCAACACAGGGGCGGTGCAGCAGGGCAGGGCGAGCAACACAGGGGCGGTGCAGCAGGGCAGGGCAAGCAACACAGGGGCGGTGCAGCAGGGCAGGGCGAGCAACACAGGGGCGGTGCAGCAGGGCAGGGCGAGCAACACAGGGGCGGTGCAGCAGGGCAGGGCGAGCAACACAGGGGCGGTGCAGCAGGGCAGGGCAAGCAACACAGGGGCGGTGCAGCAGGGCAGGGCGAGCAACACAGGGGCGGTGCAGCAGGGCAGGGCAGGGCGTACCGGGGCATATGCGCGCAGGCAGGGCGTACCGGGGCATATGCGCGTAGCAGCTGCGGAATCTGCTCGGCGAGCGTCTGGCGGATCTCAGGCTCGCTGTCATTGGCCAGCTCCCTGCACAACGGGACAAACGCCGCCGCCGACCCGTCCAAGCCCAGCTTCCTGGCAGCTTCCGCCATATAGCATATGTGGTAGAGCCTGGTGGTGGGAGTTGTTGAGGAGGGGGAGGGGGGATTTGAGACGTCTCAAAAACCCATCTTTCATCAGGGGGAAAGGTGGGGAAAGAACAGGCATAAGATTATTACATAGCCAGCACGGTAGGGACTGTTTGGGTCAGGAGGTATGGGAGGTGGCTTGCAAGGAGGTATGGGAGGTACTTTAGGAGGTACTTTAGGAGGTGGTTCAGAAGGTGGTTTAGGAGGTGGTTGAGGAGGGCCAAACCAAACTTGCCTTTGCACAAAAACGTCGCTGTGTACGAGCGTGCATATCGTGTCCACATCAGATAGGCTACTGTCCTCGTCAGCACTGTCCTCGTCCTCGTCACTGCCACTATCCGTATCGTCATCATCAACGGTGCTAAATGCAGCAGCATCAACAGCAGCAGCAGCAGCAGCCGCAACAGCACTAGCGGCCGAAGCAGCAGCAAATACACCAGCAGAAGCACCATCACTACTAGAATCAGAACCATCAGCAGCACCAACAACAGCACCACCAGCAGCATCACCACCAGCAGCATCACCACCAGCAGCATCACCAGCAGCAGCAGCAGCAGCAGCAGCAGCAGCAGCAGCAGCAGCAGCAGCAGCAGCAGCAGCAGCAGCAGCAGCAGCAGCACCACCACCACCACCACCACTACCAGCAGCATCACAATGATCCATTTCCGTCTCCACGCCCTGCCCATCACAATGTGGCACGTGTGCCAACAGCCTAAGGCGCTCTATGGCTCTCGCCCTTTCTTGCCCCAATGTTGGTACATTCCCCTCTTCTCTTTTCGTCTCCCCAACCCGTTCTTCCTCCTCGTTCCGCTCTTCCTTCTCTCTTCCCTTCTCCTCCTTTACTCTCCTCTCTTCCTCTTCTCTCTTCACTCCCTCCTCCCTCCTTTCCTCCTCCACTCTCCATTGCACCGCACCTCCTTCTCCCAATTTCGCCCCCTTCAGCTCCACCCTATCCCCTCCTTCATCACTCACGCCAGACGCCCCTCCATGTCCCGTTCGCCGAACCTCGTTGAGCGCAGGCTTCCCTGCAAGGGACCGTACAGCCTCCATCGCCTCCGCGATACTCATCCCCTCTTGCTCCGCACTGCCGCCCATCCCCTGTTGCTCCGCACGGCCGTCCATCCCGTCTCCTCCCACCCCGTCTGCCCCAGCCCTTTCCTGCTCCAGTTTCCGTAAACGCTCCTCGTCTCGTTTCGTCATCTCAGCTCGCTCGTCCTCCTCTCGTGTCCTCTCCTCTTCGTTTTGCTCTCCCTCACTTCTTTGCTTCTCCTCCGCTCCTCGTTCCCCCAGTCCCGCCCCACTCCGCTCCACCTTACCGCGACCCCGACTCCTTCCGCCGTAGCCCCTTCCGCGTCCCCTTCGCCGCGCGGGGAATGCGATCTCCTGCGCGATGGCTCTTATTCGCATCGTCGCCTCCTCAATGGTCAGCAAATGCGGCTGCGCACAGTCTCCTCTCGCCCCGTCTCCGTCTCCTCTCGGCCCGTCTCCGCTCTCCTCCCGCTCTTCCTGCCCTTTCTTCTGCGTCTCTCGCTCTCCACCTTCGCTTCCACTCGTCTCGCTCTGCTTGGCTTCACCGTTAAGCGTTTCGACGTTTCCTGCATCCGACACTACCGATGCCTCCATGGCTGTTCTTTGCGCGTCTACGGCTCGTCGCGTACTTCGCCTCTCTCGCCAAAACTTCTCGCTACCTCTTTGTCTGTGCAGTATCAGTCAGTGGTGACTCGGATCTAGATTCACTGGATCTGCCACATGGACAGCATTCGTCGCCGATTTGTCCCTCGTCAAAGTTTCCCCGTGTTGAGCGCATGCGTCAGGTAGGAAGTGAAGGCGAGAGGCAAATAAATAACAGGCGCGTGTCTAGGTTGTGAGGCTGACGGGAGATGTTCTAGGTGAGGTGGTACTTTCGATGGACCCGTAATCGACCCACAAGTTACACGCCCCATATGACCTCTTCAGGCTTGTGCGAAGTTTTCAAGCAGCGGATTCTTAGTTTGAGTGAGTGAACGAAGATTCCGCTATCGAAGCAAAACATTACATTGAGCTAAGGAATGAGAGAATGTTAAATAGAGAACTAGTGGTAATGGTAAAGAGCGAATTATGGGGTGCGCGACGGCCCTAGCGCCGAGGTTGGGAATTGTCGAGGTGGAGGACTGGAGCGTGGGTAACCAGCCAAGCCGTGAGGTTGGGTCGCGATGTGAAAAGTGGCGGGAACAGTAGTCGAGGCAAGTGTCGCGATGTGGTAACGGTTTACTGTAGGGTACTATTGGCGAGAACAGTCATGTACGCGGTAAGCATGGGCGCGAAGTAAGGAAAAGGAAGTATCCTTACACTACCCCCCTGCCCAAGAAAGGCCCCTAACGAAAGGGCGTGTACGTCGCGCGGAAATTTTGGCTGCGCATGTACTTATCGAGGATAGGGTGGTTCTCAATTTTATCTAGGGAGACCCAATTATCTTCTGTGTGCGTGCGGTCCTTCCAGCGAACCAGGAACTCGATGTGTCGAGCTCCACATGGGTCACGAACACGATAGCTCAATATTTTTTAGGGTGATGACTGGTTCGAGTGGCGGTCGTGTCGTACTGGACGGGCGGCTACGTGTCAGTTGACTCGTTAACGAGACGTAGGGCGGAGGAGGCTGATGTGGAAGGATGGGCTAACGTACCAGTCAGCATGCAAGAGGAGGTGGGCGGTGACGGGCGTGATCATGTCGGTGAGGCGAAGTGGCCTGCAATATCAGGGGCGTAATTTCGGATTGACGGGCAGGCAAAGGTTCTGGGTGTCGAGTAGTACCAGGTCGTTGGGGTTGGTAAGTGACGGGGCGGTGGTGGTGGTCGGCATTGTGCTTAGCGATGATGTTTGAATTTTTTATAGCATCTGTTGCTTAGGTCCGGGCTCCTTGTAAATTTTTTGGCAAAATTGTTGTGCTCGTAGGATCGGGTTGTCGGGATTTGGCGTCATGGGTACGGTGGGGTTCTGTTTGTAGTTAAGGTAGAATGGTGACTGCTGCGTTGTTTCTCACGTAGAGTTGTTTGTATGCGAACTCGATGAGTAGCAACTGCTACTCCCAAGTTGTCGGGTTGTCGCATGTGGCTCGAATTAACTGTTCCATTGTCTGATTGGTCCGCTCCATTTGACTGTCGGTTTTGAATGGTATGATGAACTGAACTGTAGCCACGTGCCAAATTGCTGCCACGGATTCCGCCAGAATTTGCTGGTGAATTTCGTGTTGCGGTCGCTGATGATCGCCGCGGGTATCACGTGCAGTCGGACGACCGCGGCGATGAAGAGTCGTCCTATTTCTTCGTCTGAGATTTACTTCTTGCAAAGCTGCAAAATGGGCCATTTTTGTTAGCCGAACAACGACGACGAGGATCGCATTGTTTCCACTCGCCCCAGCCAGTAACCCTGTGACGAAGTCCGTATGTTTCGGAGGTGGTATCGGCTGCTACTGTCCTGCCGGTCATTGTCGAGACGACTCCATAAGTTGGCAGTGTCAGAACATTATAGCTTATGCTTTCCTGCCAACCGCCGAGCTGCCGAGCCGCCGAGCCGCCAACCGCCGAGCTGCAGTTCCTACCGAGCCGCCGAGCCGCCGAGCCCCCGAGCCGCCGAGCCGCCCGAGCCGCCCCTGTCCGGTAAGAGCAGCGCCTCTGTCACTGCACTGCCCTTACCCCACTGTTCGTGCTACTAGTCTACTGCTGTCATGGCTACCCTAGTGTCCTCACTTTTGACGCTGAGGGTCGGGCCATTGACATTGACGTCTGGGTAGATGACCTACAGCTTTTCCTACAGTGCGATAGGGCAGACGGTCTCTCCCTCTTTGACCTCACCTCTGGTGCCTCTCCTGCCCCTGCTGCTGATGCTGACGCCACTGTTCGCTCATAGTGGGCCACACGCGATGCTGCTGCACGTCTTGCTGTGCGTCGCCACCTGCCTACCTCTGAGCGTGCACACTTTAGCCAGTACAAGAGTGCTCAGACCCTATACGACGCTGTAGTTGCACGCTACTCCTCCCCTGCCACTGCTGCACTGAGCCGCCTCATGCTACCATACCTCTCCTGACCTTGCTGCCTTTCCCACAGTCGCTGACCTCATTACGCACCTCCGCACTAGTGACACTCGCTACCGCGCTGCGCTTCCTGCTGAGTTCTGCGCCAAGAACCCCCCCCCCCCATGTACAATCACTCTCTACTACATCGTCACCCGCCTCCCTGACTCCCTTCGCGTAGTCAGGGACCACTTCCTCTCGGTTTGCCCCACCACTCTCACCGTTGACCTCCTCGAGAAGGCCCTCCTAGCAGCGGAGAAGAGCATAGTCGTTGTAGGAGCCTCTCGTGGTGACCCTCGCACCCCCATCTTTGAGGGGTGTTCCCCCTCCCCCCTTTTGCCCTCTGATGCCTCTGCTGCTTGCGGCCGACCTCGTTGGGCTTGAGTCGGTCGGTGCGGCGTCTACCCCTAGCGGGAAACGCCGCCCTGGCAAGGGCAAGGGGGGCAGGGGCGCTGGAGGAGCTAGCGGGGGCGGTGGAGGAGGCGGTGGAGGCGGTGGAGGGGGTGGGGGTGGCGGTGGGGGTGGTGGCGGGGGTGGAGGTGTCGGTGGCGGCAGTGGAGGCGGAGGCGGCGGCGGCGCTGGCGGTGGGAGCGGAGGTGGCGGAGGTGGAGGCGGCGGCGGTGGAGGCGGCGGTGGCGGTGGAGGTGGAGCTGGTCGGGGTGGCGCTGCGCAGAGTGTCGGCTCCGGTGGTGGGTCAGCGCCAGCAGCAGCAGCAGCGCACTCGTGACATCCCCCCTCCTCAGCAGCTCCGTGAGTGGTACGCTGCACACCAGCGGGGTGGGGGTACTGGTCCGTGCACCTACGTCCTACGCAACGGCGACCGCGCGGGTGAGCAGTGTGGGGGTGCGCACTCCACCCAGCGCTGCTTTGGCCGCCTGACGGACGCTTGGCGTCACCAGGTCCCGGAGGCCACTGAGATCCCCCGCTGGGGCGAGCTTTCTAGGGCGGGAGTAGCTGTCTTTGACCTTGACTTTGATGCTATTCTTGCTGCCATGTATGCTGTGACTATTAGTGATGAGGGTGACTGTTACCGGTGTTTTCCGCCCGACCCGGGCATTGAGACTGTTGCTCTAGGTACTGGTGAGGCTGCTGCTCTAGGTGCTAGCGAGGCTGCTGCTCTAGGTGCTTGTGCGTCTGCTCCCTCAGGTGCTGGTGAGTCTGCTCTCTCAGGTACTACGTCGGCTTCGGCCTCCCACACCTTCACCCTTGACTCGGGGGCTTCTCGCTCCTTTCGAGACCGCACCACACTCACGCCGCTTGGCCGGCAAGTTGCAGTCTCTCTGGCGACCCCTCTAGGGGTCTTGTCCTTGCTCACTACTCCACTATCCTCCCGTGTCCGGCGGCCCCCTCTGGCACCCTGTCTGGTCTTTACCTCCCCTCGTTCTCTACGAACTTGGTGAGTGGTGCTGACCTATAGGATGCGGGGGTTCACCAGTTCACTCCTGCGAGTCAGCGGGTGACCCACTGCACGGACGCTCGGACAGGCCGACACCTGGCCACGTTTACTCGTCGGCCGGGGTCGAGCCTGTTCACACTGACCACTGCGTCTCCTCCAGTCACTGCGTCTGGTCAGATAGCTGCGTCGGGTCAGGTGTTTGCTGCAGCGTCCAGGTCTGGTCCTGAGTCTACCCCCTGCTCGTGTCGCCTCCTGTCTCACGAGACTCTCCTCTGGCACCACCGCCTTGGTCACCCCTCCCTGCTTCGTCTCCGAGGCATGGCATCCCGTGTCCTTGTCTCTGGTCTTCCCCGGTCCCTCCCTCCTCTTCCTCCTGGGCCTGGCCCGACCTGCGTCCCCTGTGTCGAGGGGCGGCAGCGGGCTGCCCCTCACTCCTCCCAGTTTCCTCCGACAGAGGCCCCGCTGCAGACGCTTCACATGGACGTGTGGGGCCCGGCCCGCGTCCGTGGACAGGGTCACGAGCGCTACTTCCTGCTGGTGGTTGACGACTACTCGCATTACACCACAGTCTTCCCCTTGCGCAGCAAGGGTGATGTCACTGCGGTGTTGATCGTCTGGATCCGCGCAGCTCGTCTCCAGCTCAGGCAGAGCTTCGGCTCGGACTTTCCTGTTCTGCGTCTGCACTCTGACAGAGGCGGAGAGTTCTCCTCTGGCCTTCTACGAGCCTACTGTCGTGCACGAGGCATCCGCCAGACCTTCACGCTTCCGGACTCTCCACAGCAAAATGGGATTGCTGAGCGCCGCATAGGCATGGTCATGGATGTCGCTCGTACGTCCATGATGCATGCGGCTGCCCCCCATTTTATGTGGCCGTTTGCGGTTCGGTACGCGGCGCATCAGATCAACCTTCACCCCAGGGTCTCCAAGCTGAAGACCTCCCCAGCTTTGCTGTGGACGGGGAAGGTTGGTGATGCGTCCGCGTTCCGTGTCTGGGGATCTCGGGCGTTTGTTCGCGACTTGTCTCCGGACAACCTTCACCCTCGTGCTGCTCCTTGCGTCTTCCTTGGCTTCCCCCCTGACGCGCCAGGGTGGCAGTTCTACCACCCCACCTCTCGCCGTGTTCTGTCCTCCCAAGACGTCACGTTTGACGAGTCGGTCCCCTACTGCCGCCTGTTCCCCT